CCCTCAGATTCGTTGCTGAATATATTGCTGCATTATTAATAGAAGATAATAAGTGGTGAAAGGCCTTTCAATGGAGTGAAATTAGTTCCTTATAAATAACGTATTACTTGCTAGAATTAAGACCATCTGAAAAATAGCAGGGAAATTCTGCAAGTCCGGGACTTTTTATGAAATAATATCCTCTGTAAAGCAGAATCATCATTCTCGGGTTTTGGGGGTCTAAAAAGATGGCATATGTTACAACCCAATCTCGATTACTCAAAGGGACTGTACAGAGAGTTATGGGGTAAGATGTGCAATAACCTATAGCAATCAATTAGTCTCTTAGCTTTGTCCTATGCACATTATGACTGCCCTTTGCTTATTGAACAACCCATATTGGCCTTACTTATGCAGATTACAGAGTTATGGATGGTCTGTGTCCCAGAGAAACCAGTCAGATTCTAGGGGAAATGTTTTCAGCACAGCCTTGAAAATAAATAATAACCTGTTTGGATACTACTGGACAACCTAGATTTTGATCAATAGGGTACATCCAGCACAGCCTGGAATTTAAATGATAATCTGTTTGGATGCTACTGGACAACACAGATTGTTTTGATCAATAGCGTACATTCAGTTTTAATCAAGTCTTTAAGCTAAGCTCACCTTACCTTGTAAAGTGACACCAAGTCCTTTGAGAAGATGCCTATAGATCCCTTCAACCATTCTGAATTCTCAAGGTTCCCCAAAACCCTGGGCTCTCTAGTAGGCAAAAAAAAACAACCAGACTGGCATTAGTTGAGCTCTGGTCCACAACTCATGCCAGTGTGCTTTACCATTGGTACGAAGTGCATTGGTTGGCAAAAATGGAATGTGTTCAGAATTCTCAAAGATCCCCAAAACCCTGTGCTCTCTAATATGCAAAAAAAAACAACCAGACTGGCATTAGTTGAGCTCTGGTCCACAACTCATGCCAGTGTGCTTTACCATTGGTACGAAGTGCATTGGTTGGCAAAAATGGAATGTGCTAGGTGAGGGAAGCGGTCCACAGAGCATAACCACTCAAACTCTAGTTGCTATTAGTGCTTGCTCTGTAGTAGTGTTGTACCTATACTGCAAGGAAAACTTGTTTTGCAACCAACTGGCACTTAATTGTGTCAATGCTACAGCTCCGCAGCTGTCACTGGTGCTCCCCATAGAATCATAACAGCCTGGCCACCATGTGACTTGCAGTGACTCTTGCAGAATTGCTGAAGAATCTTGCTCTCCGACAAGGAAGCAATAGTGAAGCCTTACTGGTCTGTCCAGCGAGAGAGATGACATAGAAGCAGGTGAGTGATTTCTTTGCTCTCCTAGCTGTCCTGACACTGGTGAAATGATCCCAGGAATGATCCCCAATGTGACATGGGGCCATACTCTCCAATTGTTATAGAGAATACAATTAGGTATTGACCATGTTGCTAAAACTGTAACTAAAATCACTGAAAATTGTCTGTTATATATTTGTATATATTAATCATAATAATAATAATAATAATAATAATGATGGCAATAATAATAATGATAGCAATACTATTTTGCTTTGTATTTGGGTTTTTGGTGTCCTTTGCTTACATACAGCAGTACTCTGTTAAAAGGTGTCCTCTTTTCCCATCCGTGTGAACGTTGGGAGATAGGTAAGCATGTCCATAAGAAAAGGTATGGGTACCTTTTTTTCTTTTCCCAATCATAACGTATAGGCCAGTAATTATCTGCACTTAGTACATCTCTCGCTTCACTTAGCAACCATCTCATCTGACTTGTTAGATTAATGGAGTGTGCTAGGTTTAAATTAAGGGCAGCGTGGTAAACCGAGCATTAACTTTGTATTCATAAATTTATCATGAGAGAATAATGGTGTGTGTGGGTGTTAATAATAAATCCTGCCCTGTGCTGGCATAATTATATCAACTCGCCATTGCATTATCTAATTATTTCATAGCCTTTTAAATAGTTACCTTTTTGTTTTACGTTCCATGCAGCTTGTGTCTAGCTTGTACTTAAAACAGATTTCTACTTTATTGGCCCTGGCAACTCATTTTCAGCATGCCATTAAAGGGTTAGTCCAGATAGAACAGCTATTTTGGTTTTGGGTGTGCTCTGGTGGGCTGAATCACTCATTAACTTCTTATATAGCTCAGGGGCTTCAGCACTGAGATCTCCCGTCAGAGTTGTTAGCTCCCAGTCACAGCGTCTTTTCTTCCCATCATAAAAAGTAAGTCTGACAGGGCGTGAGACCCCCTCATAAAGTTTTGGGAACCATGAGATTGCATTAGTTATCACATCTTTGCAAACTTCAATATATTAAAGAGTATCTAAACCAAAACACAAAAATATAACGCATTGCGGTTTACCAGTCCTTAGATGTTGTGACTGCATTTGTTTTCTTTTTTTAAGGCCTTTTTCCTCTATTTGTACCTGCTGATTCTGACAATAACACACTTCCTGTCCTAGCATGACAACACTCATTCATCGAACAGTATTAGGCATGGTTCACACCTAGGAGTTTTCGAGCAGTTGTAAAAGCGCTTTTAAATGCCCAATACAAGAAATCCGATGATTTTCAATGGCCCTGGTTCACACATGAGCAGGAAAAAGCCAAACGCACAAAAAGGTAAATGAGCTTCTTTGGGCAGTTAGAAGAGCATTTTTGCCCGAAAGACTTCAATTGAAATGCCCTAAAACACGTGGCAGAAGCATGTTGCACATTTTCGTAAGCATGTTTGCCCGCTTAAATGCGCGTTCTTCCATTGCCCACACTTTCAGAAGCTGCCAGTCAAAGCGCGTGTCCATGTACGCACGTAAAAACACACGTAAACATTCAAATAACTGCATGCTGTTCACGCGCGTACAAACGCACAAAAACCGTGCCGACTAGGTGTGAACAGTGGCGTCACAAGTGGGGGGATGCGGGGGGTGCAGCCCGCACCCGGGTGACACCACTGACTGTCATTTTGGGTGTCGCCCCCTCTGAAAAGTCGGGCACTCGGCAAAGGACCGAGAGTCTGACAGTTGCTCAAGAGAAGAGGGGACCCGGCGGCATAACTTATCCCTCCGGGTGACGTCCCCTCCTCTCTCTGCCGGCAGGTAACAGCGCTACAGCGCGTGATGTCATCACGCGTGTAAACGATGACGTCACTGCGGGGTGTCACCTGGTACCCGCACCGGTTGTCACCCCACCTCGAGATGCCTCTGGGTGTGAACCCAGCCTTAGGAAAATAGAAACAAGATAGGACCATGGGACATAACATAGAGGGTCATGGTTTTGTAGTCCTCAGAGATAACCGGAACAATGTAATTGATAAGCGTCAGCACAGGCAGAGAGCACAGGAAGTGATTAGCTCACAAGATTTTGTTGCCAAGACCAAAATATATTTTTCAACCTAATAAACAGATATAACAAAATGCTGGTATAGTTAGCAGACCAAAAAGGGCCAAATACTCAATTAAATTTTAATTGCATGTGCAGTAGCTCATGTTAACCAATCACAGGTTGCTATTTTATAACTCTGAATATGCCAAATTTTTGACATTTGAGTTTCAGTTGGCTAACAGGGAATATGGTTCTGCACTGTGTTCTGGCACCAACATAATACATATATTTGCTTAAGTTTCATCTACAGGTACTAAGGTGATGAATGTTTTAGAATATTCTTTCATTTTGCCATACATGTCCACACAATACCAACTATTCTGATACAGCTCTGTGTCAATATGATGCTGTGTTGAGTGAAAATTGCTGCAGGAAATACAGTCCATGATTCGGAGTCTTGGATTGGTTGGAATGTACTGGATGGTTTACTGTTTTTCTCTGCAGATCAGACATAAGTTGCTATGAACATCAATGGTCATGAAGATGGCACTGAATACACATGTAAGAAGATATTTTGTAAAGCTTAACTATTGCTGCAAGGATGATGAAAAAAGGCGAGGGTTCATTTACGATATAATACATGTGGCAACGTGTGTTGCGCTAACACATAATGCCATGAGGATTGCAATACACTGCCTTCGGAAAGGATTACATTCAGTTGACTTGAGTGAGAGCTGCAGGACAACACATCCAAAAAAAGCAGCCCAACATGATGCACTGTAACTCATTTACAAGAACATGCCCATTGGAATACATTGGTTCCTGCCTCCACCTGTACTTGCATCGTGTGAATGAGCCCCAAGGTACAGGTAACTTTACTCTCCGGTGAAAACTTCCAGCAATCTCCTTAATCAAATGTTCAGCAGCAGTTCGCCATTCAGATGTTCTCGGGCTATTGTGGCACTACCTCTCCCAGCATTCTTTGTAAAGTGTGCAGCCAATTCTGACCGCTTTTTGTGGCGCAGGTGTGAATAACAGATTGGAGCACAACATTTTTTTTTACGCAAGTTAGAAATATGAGTTTGCTCGTTGGCAAACTTGGGCAATGAATGCATCCAGCAACAACACCTGATCATGCACAAATATATCCAGGTGCCAGAATATTGTCAATGCATGCAACACATTTGCCGTGTAACATATTGGAAAAGACAATTCATTAATACCTTCCTTGTATAGCTGTCTCCTGACAGCTAACAGTAACCTTCATTGCTATATGGGGATGTCGCTTAAAAGTCACCCACCTCATCAGCATTCAGTGGATGGTTACCTTGAAGCTCCAGTTAAGTTAAGAAACTTATATCCAGCAAGCAGAAAACAATCAGAGACTGTACTCTCCTTCTGCGGGGAATGAAATGGACTGCACCACAGAGACCGGCTAGTTTGCTGAGAGCGTTCAGATCAGCACGGCGAATTTAGTCGTGAATCCGGCAGAGAGAGATAGAGAGCGGGGAAGGAGAGACGGCAGGAGAACAATAGGGACCGTGAGCGCAATCAGCAAAACAAAGTACAAGTTTTGTTTTTTCTCCGAGAGGAACATAAAACTCGCCCAAGGCAACAACAATACAAAGTGTGTGCGCGTTTACAAGAAAAGTATTTAAGCCCTTACCTTGTGCTCTGGAAGAAATAAAAACCCAGCTAGCACACATCAGCAGTATAAGTGTCTGGACTGGGAGAGAGAACGGCTGTTTTGTCTTGAGCTGTTCTGACATCTTATCCTGACTGAGAAAAAGCTTTCATCAGCTGTCTGAGCTGTACAGCACCATAATATACAGTTACAGGGGATGCAGGATGTGAGAAATTTCCTGAATGCAGTTCAGTTAACCCCTCCTGCCTGACATGATCATCTAAGTCTTTCTCCCCAAAAACTTTTTTTTTTTTCCATTTTGGCAGGAGTGGGAGAAATGTTGACCGTTGCAATAAATGAGCACACTGTCTGTGTTGGCCAGCGGGAGGCATTAAGATCGTTAGTGAAGGAAGGCAGGCCTGTGAAGGGCACTCATGCCAACATTTACAGTTCTTATTACAATGGAACAAATTATTGTCCTCAAGACTTTACAGCCGCACTCTGCAGGATCCTAAAACCGACTGGTAAAAGAAAAAAGAACTTTGCGTGTTCTGTGAAGTCCAAAATTGTAATATCGGTGTGATGAAAACATTGGCTTTACAATGACATATATCCATTTTTTTTCTCTCATTTTTATATTTATATAGTACTGTTCTCCCAGGAGGTGCAAAGCACTTTATTGGTTGTCAGGGCAGATATATTGGGGGTACTCAGTAGAAAATCATACTGGGGCCAATTTACCTACCTGCATGTCTTTGGAGTGTTGGGGGAAACTACCCACGCAAACAAAGGGAGAACATGCAAATTGTATGCATATAGTGTCCTGAACACAACTTGAACCGAGGACCCCAGTGCTGCTAGGCAAGAGCTAAATACTAAGGCACGGTGATGAGCCATAAAAGGGATCCTAGGATCTTAAGACTTGGGTGTCTTTGTTTACCTTTTATCCTTACATAGTTACATAGTTAGTCAGATTGAAAAAAGACACATGTCCATCGAGTTCAACCTTGAAGAGCAATGATTACTTGGAGTGCGGTGGAGAGAACAAGACTTGAACCCAGGAGCCCAGTGCTGCTAGGCAAATGCTAAATACTAAGGCACGGTGTTGACCCATAAAAGGGCAGGAGTATATTTAAGATCTTAAAGTGACATTAAAGGATACATTTTTTTTAGGGCTGGTAATGATTAAAATTTTCATGTTCGATTTAATCGAAATTTCTTTAAATCGATTTAATTTCGATTAATTATAACGCACATAAAGATCCAACTACATTGGCCTATACACATACAGCACAGCAATGAAGTAATAAGATGAACTAGGATCACACTAATCCAGCAAGTTATTAATCTCACGTGCCCCACTCAATATGACCGCCGCTTGAGTGGGGCAACTCAGAATAATAACGTGCTGGATTAGTGTGATCCTAGTTCATTTCATGACTTCATTGCTGTGCTGCATGTGTATAGGCCAATGCCTTGGCTGGCGCTCGTGCAGAAAGTTTCTTGGGCAAACTCACCGGCCCAAGTGGCTCCGTCAGCTAACGAAAGGGGGAGGAGTCCGGTGACTTCAAGGACATTGACGTCACCGGACTCCTCCCCCTTCCCTTCGTTAGCCGACATAGCCACTTGGGGAAGGGAGGAGTAGTCAGGTGACGTCACGGACATCGCCGTCGGGACTCCCGGAAGTCGGCGGAGAGGTGAGTGTTTTCATTAGCGATCAAAATAATTGTAATCGGTCAGAAAGTTTAACGATTAATCGAGAAATTAATCTTTAATTTCCACAGCCCTCATTTTTTTTCCCTCCCCCCCATGTTAATGTCAGCACTTACCTTAAATGATGTCTCTTAATCCGATATTCTTTCCTGATGTTTTCATCTGTCCCTGTAGGGGTGCAGCGGCTCTCCGATCCAGCGCTGACTCCTCTCTGCTTGCAGGCACTTCTGATCCAGCGGTGTCTGCATGCGGGTGCACACGTCCATAGACTTACCTTGCGTCTCTACTCGTCTCCAGGCCGAGAATCTGAACTGCACATGCGCCCGCCCCAAGATGCTTTGCGGCCGCACGAGCAGTTCCGGATTCTCGGCTCGTGAGCGCGCAGCGTTAACAAGGTAAGTTTAAACCGCTGTTAAAGCGGTTTAAAAAAACCAAAAACATTTTTGCCTATATCTACTGCTTGCTAGCAGTAGATATAGGCAAAAAAACCCGGAGGCTTTAGAACCACTTTAAGACTTGGGTGTCTGTGTTTACCTTTTATCTTTGAAGAACATTGATTACTTGTAGTGATCAAGAGTGCGGTGTCCAGAACTAGACTTGAACCGAGGACCCCAGTGCTGCTAGGCAAGAGCTAAATACTAAGACACAATGTTGCCCCCATAAAAGGGCAGGAATATTTTTAGCATCTTAAAAAACTTGGGTGTCTTTTTTCACCTTTTAATCATGAAGAGCAATGATGACTTGGAGCGGTCAAGAGTGTGTGCGCTGTAGTATAGCACTGGGTAACCATGAAATGTCCATGTTGGTGGGTTGAAGCAGGTTTGGACTGAATGGTAGGTTCACAATACAATGCTTCATAAACATTAGGCATTGGCAGGGCTTGATTACTCATTGAAGGGTAATTCCACTTTTCCAGGTGAATTTGTGAAAATGGAACTACCCCCTCCAATCTGGCCCCCTCCCCCCATACTTACCTTTTGGGTGAACGCTCCTTCCCCTTCACTTTCATCACTTGTAATTGCAAATATTCAATTCACAGGGGGGGATTTATCAAAACTAGAGCAGACAAAATCTGGAGCAGTTGACCATGGCAACCAATCAGCATCTCTCTTCAGTTTGCTCAGGTAAGATTTGAAAATGACACAGAGAAGCTGATTGGTTGCAGTGCAAATCTGCTCCAGATTTTGTCTGCTCCAGTTTTGATAAATTCCCCTCACAGTATTTCAATGGGAAGTGGGTATGGGCCTTCTTGGGAGCCACCTTCCCATGTTGTCTTAGACCGACCTGTACTCTCTCATCCACAGTGTGTCTGTGTATGTGTATAGTATTTGCATACTAGGGTGCCTTTGAATTATCACATCATTGTAACTTTCTATTCTATGACGAAAGTGGGTTGTTACTGATGTAGACGTATGAATTTGCTACCATATGTAATCATGCTTTCAGTCGTATAGCTACACAATTTTTGCTGCTAGTATGCTACGCTATTGTATACAATCTTGCTTGTAATTATCACTTGGTGAATTTTCTGTAATCCCTCTAATCATAATTGTGTTAATTTTAATTGTATATAATCACGTTCTGTATTCAAATGTAGAATTTTTTTGTATGAATTATTCAAACCACTTTGCTCACGTAACTGCTTTATGTGGTAGAGTAATTCTACCACACTGACACAAACTAGCACATATTTTTTGAAACGAAAAATGTATTTCTTTGCGTTATGTCAATGTATACCATGAGGCAAACTTTCCCTATGCAGGACAAAGTTACAGGATTCCTTAAATGCCCCCTTCCTCAGCAGCATATACCGTATTTTTCGTTCTGTTAGACACACCAGGTCTCCACAATCTCCTGCGCCAGCAGCCCTGCCGCCTCACCTGTCACAAACACATCACCACACGTGTCCAGCGGTTCCCGCAGGGTGATGTGTGTGTGTGTGAGAGCTGAGGCGTGTACCGGTAATCACTCGCATGAGCGATGGGACGGTAGGGGTCGCTTGTACTACTCATAGAGCCAGCGAAGCAGCATTATTTACCTCTTCCATAATGCCGCTGCCCATGCTGCCGCTGTCTAACTTCTGTGTCTGATCGGCCTCTTACCTTCCTGTGTCATGCCACATAACAGGGAAAGGGAGGAGTCTCAGTATGCAGAAGTTAGACACAGGCAACACGGGCAGCTGCATTGTGGAGGCAGTAAATAAAGTTGTTTCACTGCCTCTAAACAATACAGGTAGTACCAGCGTCCCCTACTGTCCGTCTTCCTCTAAACCTAGGTGCATCTTATGGAGCACAAAATATGGCACTTAGATTTTCTTTGCTCCCCCATTGTTCTGTTCAGCTGCTGGAAATGAAGAAAATACCCAGTTCGTCCGAGCATGGGTGGCTCCGTGACTTTTTTTTTATGCCTTTTTATAATTGTTTTATTATTTTAAATGTAGTGTATTTGTAAATTAGCCACTAGACGGAGCTCTCAGTGGTGAGATATCACAAGAAGTAACTTTTTTCAGTTGGCCGACTCATATATTACATTTGAGAAGGAGCAGCTTTGCAGTACCATTGTGTTGCATTGCAAAGCAGGAAACAAAACCTGTGTATGTGTACATTACTATGAATCAGTACGTTCTCTGAACTGTGGGACCACAGTTATTTTACACTCTTACAAACATTCCTGGGCTATTTCGGAGGTTTCTGAAATGCAGGCTGACTGATGCAGACTGATGCAGACTGATGCAGGTAAGCACGTCAAAATTCTGTCATTGCTGGGTAATTTCCAGTAAGTTCCCAATTATGGGCATAAACTGCAACAAAAACCAAACCCGACAGAGTATCTAACCTTTACCCCCTCTTAAACATACAAAATGGTTTTGAATGGAGTTAAACAGGACCAGTCCTTATCCAATTACAATGATATATACAATAAAGCTGGCCGTACACTGCTCGAACTTTGTCTGATTCTTTCTGCATTGGCTGAAATTTGAGCTGTGGATTACCCTGTTAGCACAACCCGGTCTCACAAACGTTGATTGAAAAATTGAAGGAGGCAGGTGGAAAATTTTCAGCCCGAATATTGACTGCATATAATCAGATAATTGCCAGCAGGGGAGATTCCTCCATCCATACTGTTTAGCATGGATGGGGGAATCAATTGATCATTTTCTTTTTTTTTTTTTTCAAAAACATTTTATTGTGTTGACAAATTCAAGGAATGTTTACAACATGTTTTGCATGGCATCATCAACAGTCTTTCATTTTTCTGTTTTCCAACAACTTCGCATTAACATAATCCTGCTGGATCTATTGAACATTGCATATCCTATCCTATCCTATCCTAAGGTACATTTTGTAGTGCGACCCCGCGGTAGGGTTTATACTGCGTGGTATCTCCATCATTGTATTTAATAGAGGAGTGTTCTAGGGTGGCTCGGGCAAGAGCAAGTGGCCCATCTTGGTGCCCACTCGCTCTCCCTCCCCCCTTTTCTTTG